TAATGTAAAAACAAGCAAACCATCCAAAGCGCGGGAAACTGACGCGGGCGACCAAGTCGTGACTGGTGACAATGACGAACTTGAAGAGTGTTGATCATCTTTTTCACGCACCGAAAACGTGAAGTATTTCCTTTAACTAATCAACGTCGTGCATAACTGTAATGTGACATATTTTTTCTTGTCTTGTTTGTGTAGAAAAAGAAAAAGGGAGGAAAAGGCCACGGAAAGAAAGGAAAAGCGTCGCAGCAGGTCGACGACAATAAACAAGATGATGACGATGAATTAGACAGGAGGGCGTCAGAGGAGGAAGGCCATGAACTTGACCAGATGAATGTGTCTGACCTGGAAGGAAGTGATAATGATCATGAGATTAAAGTGAATGAAACAGAGGTGCTTGGGAATTCTAACAGTGGTTGTGAAATGATTCCGGACAATGATATCCAATTGAGAGATAATGATAGCAGTTCGAAGTCCGCTGAAGTCAGTGAAAAGGACGTGGACACTTGTATTTTAGATTCTAACGACGACGAATATTTGGCAGAAAACACAGTTGATTGTGCTGATTCAGAGCAAGCTGAGGGCGTGAAAGACTCGGAGGAACAGCGCGCGATGCAAACTGAACAAAGTACAGAACATTTGAATGGCGGAACGAGTAGAAATGGTTCCACTAATGACAATGAAGAAAACAAAAGTTCGTCAATGGAAATTTTGAACTGTAACCAGGTAACTGCGTCGAAACAGCCAAGTTGCGATTCTTTGCGATGCAGCCAAGAAAAAGGGACTGAGAAAGTTGACCATTATCAACAGGGATATGAAGAAATCCCATCGAGTATAAAAGAATTTTTAAAAGAAATTATAAATTTGGCTGTGGACTTGAATAAAGGTAAACCAAGCGAACTTCAAGACGATATTGTCAATCCATCGGGGAGTTTTTCGCCTTCTTGTGTATCTAGTGGTGAGAAACAGGGTAAAGAAACGGCTCATGATTTACAAGAGAAACTAGATGGAGACGAAGTAGATAGAAAATCAACTAAAATTGTTCTTAGTCTTGGCGTAGAACATGATTGCGCACAAACAGAGCAAGAAACAAACATTACAGAGAACCAAAGACTTTGTTCGAATTCTGGAAAGGGCGATGAAAACGAAGGGGCAACGGAGATATCTGCAAAAAGCGAAGAAGAAAGTGAAACTGAGTCTGAAGAAGAATTTGAAAATGATAACGGGATAGATAGGATTCTTACTGTTCAACCCGCGTATCGACCCTCCCCGGGCGAATGCTCTGTTTTGTCGTGTTTAAGCCAGTTTTGCGTCTCAGAATTATTAGATGGCAATAATAAATTTGCCTGTGAGGTATGTACCAAGCGAGCGCAGCGGAACAATAAGGAGGAGGGATCTAGAAAAACGAAAGACAATGACAAAGATGATGTCAGTGGGGACTCTTCGTCAGAAGGTAAGTTGACGTTCTTTTGATTGAAAAACATCTTAACGGTACTGTGTGATTGAGTGGCTAGCGTGCTGAACTCCGGGTCGCGACCGCCTTCTTGTGTTGTGTAATTGGGTAAGACACTTTCTTCCACTTTGCTCTTCTCCGCTCAGGAGTATGAATGAATACTGGAAGCTTTAATTCGAAATTAACTCGGGCTCTTAACTCGAAATTAATCGTTAAGACTTCTTTGCAAGTGCTGATTAGTCGTTTCTCATTATTTCTCCATCACCTGTGGTAATCAAGGATTCTGTCTCGCAACTGGTTTAATCGTTTTTTTATCTTTCTTATTCTTTACAGACGAACCAAAAGGTGCTAAAGCACAGAAGTCTTCGAAGAACAAGAACAAGGACTCCCAACAGCAGACCGTGTATACCGTGGCTAGTAAACAGATGCTGATTTCTCTTGCTCCACCAGTCCTCACTCTTCACCTCAAGCGTTTCCAGCAAGCTCGCTTTACTTTGCAAAAACTAACCAAACACGTGGACTTTCCACTGGAACTGAACCTGGCGCCGTTTTGCAGCAGAAGTGGAAGGGTAAGCAAGGTTAGGTGTTTATAAAGGCGATATTTCGCGAGGCAGTTGAAGCTTAGCCAACACAAGACGCTTCTCCGGCCGCACAACGCCCGATCACGTATCGATTCATTGTCGTTGCTCGGTAACTCCTTATGGATGGAGGCATCGTTTGTTCGGAATTTAGGGGACCCCTTTAGTTTCTGTTTGTTTAGTTATAGGATCACGTGTAAAATCGTTCGCGCACGTTATTTAGTCATCGTTACGTTGAAATAACTTAGGAGTGAAGCAGAACTTATCTAAACATAAACCTCTTTGGTTTCAGCTAATCGTTTTCAGCGGAAACGAAATAACTTGAATACACTGAGAGAAAAAGTATCTAGACTTGTATCGGAAACTCTTAATCCGGAGTCCGGTGCGTCCTTCGTTTACTACCGTGTTCTTAACTATTGCGACAGGAAAATTTACGTTTCTGTTTTTGTTTGTTTGTTTCAGAGTCGAGCAGACTCAGAAGGCAAAGTGCTGTACTCGCTGTATGGAGTAATTCAGCACAGTGGTAATATGAACAGCGGACATTACACAGCCTACGTGAAAGTCAGCGAACCACCAATGAAAAGTCTGTACGACAAAATTACTTCAATGAGTGAGTTAACGGATTTTATAGAGAAAATGTGGACTCAAAAGTCCGAAGCTCAACATGGTAGTTCCCGTACTCATCATGAGCCTGCACCGAGTGGTCAGTGGTTTCATGTCAGTGATTCAAGCGTAAGTGCCGCAGCGGAGAGTAAGGTGCTCAAGAGTCAAGCGTACATGTTGTTCTATGGCCGCCTTCCTCTTGTCAGTGGATGACCAATTCAATTTTTCTAGACTTAGCAGGGGTTTAAATCAAGTGTTAAAATGATTCCTTTTTTTGTGTGTTTTCAATCAAGCCCCTTCTTGACCTGTGGATACAATCTTGACTTGGTAGCTCGCGATTACCTCGCGAAATTTCCATCGCCTTGATCCGTTGTCGTAAGCATTTGGTTTTAAAAATCTCAGTAGAAAAGGTTTATCCAGAAAAATCTCACGCCTTGACTGTGAACTGAGCTTACTTTCGGGTAAATGCATTGCGCGGCAACGTTTAAGGAATTCTCAGATCTGATCTTATTGGTTTAACATGTATTGTTCACTCGTTGGCATTAGCCTCGGGTTGTTTGCTCAGTTTTGTTCAAGTTTACGACACTTGATCAAGATCTCACAAAGCTTCCTAAATGCTTAACACCTTTTCTAACACTGATCTCAGAGGTTTTGATCAAAAGCCGGTTTCCAGCGGTCTTCCGTCGCCTCTGGGACCACTTACCGCCTTCTGTTCAGCGTACGAGCAGGCTCCCGTGATTGGGTTCCGTCTCACGGCCCCTTCTCTAGATACAGCCGCCAATTACGCCATCGGCAGCTGCTTACGGAGAAAAAGTTATTGAAACCCCTGTGATCTGTGAAAATTTATTGATATATATATAGTGACTGAATGAATGACCTTATACTCCAAATTTGGTAGAAAAATTAATGGCTCTTGGAACCTAAATATGAAAAAGATATGAGATTTAGTAATTCACATTATTCTTAAGAATTGAAATTGATCGGTACTCTGTAGCTAGCATCAGTTATAAAGAAGTAAGTAAGTCAAAAAATTTATTTCTTATTAAAAAAAAGCCGACTTTCCCTCCAGCTTTTCCCGTAATCCAAGCTCGTGGTTTGGATAGGGGTTGAAGGCAATTTGTAGGGGAAAAAAAGATCGAGACAAACGTCAAAAAAATGCAGTGCAAACTATACCAGACATTTGTTTGCGGATGAGCAGATGGTAAATAAAACAAGTTATGATACTCTTTGCACGTTGTCCTTCAGAAGTTTAATGTATTTTATTACTAAATTTAAGCCAAGTGGAGGCCTACAACTTTTACGTGTTCTCTGTTTGAATTAGAAACTAAAACATTCTAAGCTTTTGCCGACCAACGGTATTATCATCTCGGGATTTTGACTCTTACGAGGAAGGATGCCGCAGTGATGGGCTAGATAATGAGTCAAAAACAAATTGTATTTAAAACACAAGTATTCTCTTTACAAAGGTGACTATCTGACCATAAAAAGGCCAAAATCCTAATTCGCTCAGGCCTTAAAAAAGTGGGTAGAGGGGTAGGGAATAGAGTGACCATCGTCTAATTTCACCTTACGGTAATTCTGTAAAATCATTCATTAAAATCTTACAAATAATCGAGATGACTACCAACCTAAGAGGCACTGATTGCTAAACAAATTCTCCTCGTCAGTACAAAGCAAATTTATAGAGAAGGATATGGAGAATATGGATACTGATGTTAGGTTATAAACGGTTAATAAAGCAGAAGCCGTTCGCAGGCCTTTCCGTCTCCTCTCGTTTACAAGAAAGGAGCGTGTGCAGCGAAAAGGGATGGGACGAAGGCGAGCAAAATAAGTAAAGAGGAAAAGGTGACGAACGGAAAGGAAGGATAGAGAGGACGCTTTTTAGCTCGTCTTGAGCTATGCTTTCCACGCACGCTCTTCTCAGGCTTCTGAGAGGTCAACCATGGGAAGTACTTGTCGCCACTTGTAGGGCTGCAACACACCTTTAATGACAGCTTATCGAGTGATAACAGGAGCTTCAAATACTAAGTGATTACATCATATACCCCATTCACACCAGCAAAACATGTTTTGTTAAACTGGTTTTCATTGAATGAAAATTATAAACAGAGAACTGAAAAACTTGATTTTCCATTGGATTCAAGTACTTGCTAACTTGCATTTCCAAACATTCAAGTCAAAAATATTCGGTTAAATAGTTTCTATGAAGAAAAAAAAAATTAAACTGTGTTTAACAAAACAACTTTTAAACATGTTTAAGCTTTGGTGTGAATGGGGCAATAGTCTGTTATAAAACAACATCAGCATGACTAAGCGTGACAAGGTACGTTCTGGGATATTCTGGAACGTTACCGTACATAGGAGACGTCATATTGGTCAGGTGAGGATTAAGGTATTTAGTGCATGAGGTTGTCGCTTCCAAGGTTTTGCTCTCATTGTTCCGTGAACTCTTCAGGTATTGAGTCGCCCGCGAGCGTCTAGATATTGGGAACAAGGTTGACAGTAATTTATTCAACATGGCTGAGCCAACGGTAATATCAGGTGTCGCTGCAAAACTGCTCAAAATTGTGGTTTTTGGAGCTACTGGTAGAACGGGAAAAGAAGTTGTAAAGCAAGCTCTGGAAAAGGGACACCATGTAACTGCTGTTGTGAGAACACCCGAGAAAGTCGATATACAGTGAGTAAATTACCTGGCAGCCTTTTTTGCACCTAAATTTCAGTGAAAGTTTGCCACTTTCTTGTTGTTTTCACGCGGGTATTCTTTCCATGTCAGAGCTCTGAGAATACTTGCCACTAAATCCACTAGTGCGTGCCTTGAAAGCAAAAGTTTGGGGTGAAACGGGTTACTCAATTGTAAACATCCATAAGGCCTACTAGCTTGTAAGTTATGTAATGCTCATTAAGAGGGAAAAGAGTGAGATCAGGCTCTTTCTTCCTTTGCTAGCCTCCACAACATCTCCAAAGTGCTGACTATCCATGGCTTTTACAAACGTTTTAGCCATAATAACCAGACCATCTTCTTTTCATGTTATTCCAACAGGCATGAAAATTTGTCAGTAGTGCAAGGTGATGCCTGTGACGTGGAAACTTTTGCTAGTGCACTTGAAGGGAAAGATGCTGTGTTGTCATCTCTGGGAGTTTATGCTAATATCTTCAACCCTACAACATTCTACACCACAACTTTCAATGAAATAGCACAGGGAATGAAAAGGTAAAGGTTCTAAGTCGCTTATGACACATTTTGGAATTTACATGGTGAATTGATGATTTGTGGCCTGATTTGTCCTTGCAACATGATTAACAGGACTATAAAAATACATGTAACAATATCAATCACAAGGGAAAAATTTTAGTTTGGTCTTATATCAGTATTGTTAAATGGATATCAAGAAGCATGAAGACCTGAGAGCTAGTTTTGGCAGCTAGTCTTTTAAGGTTGTTTTGATGAGAAATCACTCGAACACATACAATGCTAATCAATTTTTCATGAATGATATACTTAATATAGAAAAGCCACAAATTGTTCTTTAACACGAATTATTATTTTTTGTACATTAGGCCAGAGGTTATGCTTCCAGTATGTGATCTGAGTTCCCTCAATTTGTCCCCCACAGTTGTCAAATTTTAATATTTTGTGACCACATTTGAAGAGAAGCAGAATGTGTGACAACGAAAGTTAACACACTCAAGTTATTTTAATATTCTAGGTGTGATATATATTGAAAATTATAAATAAAGTGTTAATCATTATCTATATTATTCATTGTTTCCTATGATCTAGAAACAAAGTCACTAGACTAGTAACTGTCACATCATGGTGTACTCGGCCAGGACCAAATAATTCTTGGTTTGTGGAATGGATTCTAAAACCAATCTTCCTTAATGGTGTTATCAAGAATATGGCAGAAATGGAGGAACTGTTGGAGAGTTCTGATCCTGATCTTTTAAACTACACAATTGTCAGGCCTTGTGGTCTAGGCTTAGGTAAATCTGTGACTCTACAAAAACACATTTAACTTTATTTTTTGCTAAGATTTACAAGTTCATCTAATTATAATAATCATGTTTGGTTGCACACACATTTGGTTTTATGCTAAATGTTGAGTTTTAGATGGCCTGCCATAAATTCAGGGCCATCCTGACTCATCTTGGCTTGCCCTACAACTCCAGTTTTTGTTTTCATATGCTTCCTGATTTTATATTTTGGTAGAGATCTTGTAATCATAGAAATAGCTGATTGGCTAGAATGGTTGGAGACAATCTGAAAAAAAGTATGTTGCATCTCTATCTTAATGATGACCTGTCTTGGAGTTTTTCTATGGTCAGTTAGAAATCAGGATAGGAAATAATCAATTTTCCCTTGAGAGTGATCAACAGTTTGAACTCATTAACAATCCTTTATCACTGATGTAGCCAAATTTAGTATCCAGAAAATCTTGAACAGAAACCTTTCCCAGTATATCGGTTACATCTTGAAAAGCATGGAAACAGTAAAACTTAGTCTGTTTTTAATTTCCTTTGCATATGAAAAACAATCTTAACATTGAGGGAGCAAGCTAATACAAACTTGCTCAACATACAGATTTTAATGGGACTTGTGCTTTTCAGGTGAAAAGACAGGAAATTACAAGGTTGAAGAAGGGCAGTGTAACACTGGAACAACAAGCAAGATCACTCGCGCAGATGTTGCAGATTTTATGCTAAAAACTTTAGAAAGCAATGAGTACGACAGGAAGGGATTTGCAATTGCTGGACTGTGATTGATAATTTTTATTGCCTTATTGTCTTTCATGAAAGGAATGAGCACAGAGGAATTTCTCCTAACAATATAAATACATTTTAAGGCAAAAAAGGTTGTAGAGAGATATAAAAATACATCAGCTTTAGGGATATTATTTCATTTAGCACCAAATTATTAGAGTTAAATTATTACAAATGTATGAGAGACAATGCAAATGATTGATATTAAGATTTTGGGAGTGGAAGAGTGAACATATCATAATGGCAGGAATTTGCTGATAAATTCTTGATAACTTAAGTTTCTGCTACATAGCTTAACCCTTTAACTCCCAGAAGTGACTAACATGAAACTTCTCCCTGTGATTCCCATAAGTTTCTAGCAAATGGTTAATGAGAATACTAAAACTTATCAGGAAGGAGCTTTTATATTGATATAACACCAAGTTCTCATAACTAATTTACAAGGAATTGTGTAGCAGCAAGAGGAGAGAATTAACAATCAGATCTTGAGAGTTAGAGTTAAAAAATTTGATAATACCATGGTTATAAAAATGCGGAAACTGTCATGGAGTTGATTTATAATGTAAACAAAGAAAGGCTCTGAGATTGATTGAGTGATATATCCACAGTGGTAAGGTGAAGTAACAGAAGGTGATAAGAGTGGTTTATTGATTGACCTGCAATAGAGCCAAAACTAATGGTACATGTAACTACAATCTTAAAATCAGGTGTTTTATTTCTTAGTTAGAGCTGACTTTTGTCACAATTAAAAAAATTAAAAGAGAATACCTGATCAAAGGTTAGAATGAACAGCTGAAGATACATATTGTAAACAGGTATTGTTAAATCTATTTTGTGGTTTCCTCAAAATTAATGTGTTTATAAAAAGTTTTTAAAAAATGATTTTTGCCTTTTCCTTTTTTATCATATCTGTGTTTGTTAACTTTCCATTTGTCTCCTATTATATATGGTGTTCAACTCTAATGACTGGTCAAACTTACTCCAAAATGGCTTAATAACTGAGCTGACATTTAAAAGACAACTTCAACACTGGGTTTTTACGTGTTTTTATTCTCTTTTTTTATGTGTTTTCATTAAACATCTTCAGGGACTAAGTAGCTAATTGTCTTGTATAAATTTTAAGAATTATTGGTTGTGTGTGCATGAGATACGTGAAGAATTCTTGCACAGAACACTCTTCGATGGAAAATAATCGAAAACCCTTCCTCCTTTTCCGCTCGCCTCGACCCGAGAGAAAATATGGACCTAGAAGGCCTGGGTATCAATCATTTGCCAAAGATCCTTTGCGTGTCGAAGAATTCAACATGGCGGACGAAATTGAAGTTCGGATGCCATTGAAACTTGTTGTCTTTGGTGGATCTGGGTTAACAGGCAAGGAAGTGGTGACTCAGGCACTAGATCGTGGCCATCATGTTACAGCGATAGTTAGATCTCCGGAGAAAATACAAGAACGGTATGCCATAAATCTAAAAGTCAGTGTTGTTTAAAGTTTTTGCACCATACCTGAACACAGCTGATAACTAGAACTTCAAGCAGGCAAGCTTGAGAGGAAAGTAAAACATAAAATTCAAAAAATTTTATTGCTATAGTCATAGAAACTACGAATATTTCGTTTGACAAATGGAATTTACACGACATTTTCATGATTCTCAGCCCAATAGGCCTCAAACAAGTTTATTTTTTGTATCTAATTCGAGGGTAGTATCCTTCCCTTTTAGGCATCCCAACTTAGAGCTAGTTAGAGGCGATGCTTGTGAATTGGAGAGTTTTTCTGCAGCACTGGAGGGGAAGGATGCTGTAATTTCTTGTCTAGGAGTTTTTGCAAGTATCTTCAACCCAACAACTTTTTACTCAGAGTCCATGTTTGCCATTTTGGAAGGAATGAAAAGGTTTGTAACTGTTAGTATATTACGTCGACACTATTATGTGGATTTTTGTACCAGGTAATTGCCGTATTTATCGGGAAGATACGCAAGTCGTGCAGCACACATAAAATGCAGCACACATAAAGTGCATTGAGAAGATAGCTTTTGTAGAAGAAAAAACAATTTTCACGATTTCTAAAGGTCAGTTATAGGTGTCTGGAATTTATCTTTTTGCATAATATATCATGTAAATTTTTTTGTCAAGTTTGTTTAGAATGTTAACAGACTGATGGCTTTCTTGATTTCTTCTCTCTTTATTCATGATCCTGAATACACAGTCAGTGGCTTTCTAGTTCATTCTTTTGTGGTAGTAGCTATCTTACCCTTTAACTCCTAAGATCCAGTCACTAATTCTCTCTTCTGCATCAGCGTATTTTATTTCATTAATTTCCTCATGTATGAAGCAAAGAAGTAGGTGTCGCAATCCACCTTTAAACTGATAAGCCATTCTGTTTGTATCACCTGTTTGCAAGATATTATATTGAAATTACAAAGCAAAAGGAAGTGAAGAATTTCTGCAGTTTAAAATGTTGAACAACCTAAAATATATTTTGAGATTATAAAATCAGATCATCCAATTGAGTCAGTGCTTGGTTTACTACTGTATGGTTTTTGGGCTCTAAATTATATATCAGTGGAAACAATTTGGCAATTTTGGGTGGTGAATCATTTTTATGGTGATAAGGTGTTAAACTAATCCAAAGATCATAGTTTTCTTATCACTGGGAAATAAATGGTCTTGTTGAGTAATTTCTAGCAAAGCTTATTTCATTTTTCCAGTCTTTTAAGATGTAGAATTTCCAATATGTTTTGGCGTTAAGAGTAATTGGTTGTGATAGTTCTTTAATGAAATAAATGTAAAACTGAGATGGTTATTGAGCAGAGCTGTCAAATAAAAGTTGGTAGCCAACGAAAACCTCTGACTTTTTGCCATTGTAAGCCTTCTCCGCTCTTCTCACTTTAGAGTATTTAGGAATGAAAATTCATGCCATTATTGAAATACCATTGATGGAATTCATGCATGTGCTATTTCCCACTTTCGAGTGGAACTGAAAAACAATTTACCTGTAACAGGTTTAGATGCGTGAATCAATTCCATGTTAAGTGTTTCCTCAAAGTTTCATGTGTACTTTGTGCGCCTGGGATATTCTAACTGAATGGTTCCCAGTCCTGCATGTAATATGACGTGGCCACTTACTTATTGTTATTTGCCTCTGCTTTCTGATTTATAGACAGCTGTGTTTGAATGATACAAGATTAATTTATTTATCACTCAACTTACAGCACATGAAATGTGAGTAATGTTCAGCAGCATGACGTCAAAAAATTTAAGTGAGATTAAATTTGTGGACTTTGATACTTAGGTATGGAAGGAATTTTTTGCATACTTTTTGCATCATATTAAGTAGTGCCTGCTGCCAAGTTTGGGAATAATAGAGCTCTTGATTATTTAAAAACTGTTATAAGTTTTTCACTGCACCTCTTCTTACTGACACCATTAATATGACATTTTTAACTAACTATTTCCATCAGTAATAGGTGGAAAATAAGATTCCATTGCTTGCCGCACAACAGAAATCCTGGCAGAATCCAGTTTAGACTTGACATATGCATACTTTTAAAATTTGTAGTGACACATGAATGAAAATCCACCCACGCATGCCAAATAGAGAGTTTCAAATGACATCAACAGTTATCGTAAGCTCTTATACAAGTAGAAGGGTCAGAATTCCTATTAATCTGCATGTCTTTCATGTAGATTGATAGGAATCCCCCCCAAATTTTGTTTAATCGTGATATTCTTATCCTTCCTCAATCTTTGGCACACTTCCCTCTCGCGTAAAGAGATTAGATAGTATTACACAAAATCTACACTTCTCCTTAGCACTTTTAGTGATTGAAGGGTCAATTTAATCTCACCTAAAATTTAAAGATGATCTTTGTCCATATAAAATAAGTCCACTCAGAATTTGTTGTAATCATTACATTTGAAACATCCAATGAACCCTCCCAGCCACAGTGACTTGCCAATCTTAAATGATGCCTATGCATTTATTTTGCTCATGTATTTAGTGTTGCATTGATTATTTTTCATCTGTATTTCTTCCATTAAGAGTATAATTATCGTTGATTAGGTCATTGCCACTGTAATTCTGGCAATCAACATGACATCAAATACTTCACTTAATTTATGAGGAGTTCTATTCTTAGAAACACAATGAAATTTTGTGAATGTTTTGCGCAATCGCAGAAGTGTGCATTACTGTCAATTAACAGGATAGACTTCCTGATGTGCTCAAAATGACTTTTAATTTGCTGTTTTCTACTGCAGCTCTTTCTACAAACTAAAATTTCTGGCATTTAGACCAACTTTTCTTGGTTACTAGTAGCTTCAGGAATGCATAAAACATGAAAAAATTCCATTTCTTGACTCAGAGCACAAGTTTTTGTGGCGTACCTGTAAACTAGCTTTTTAACTAAGTGTACCAACCACATTTAATACATTGATCGATTGATATATTGATTGATTTCATTTTAATTAGACCTGACGCACTTAACCTATGACAATGCTCAACCTTTGAGCCACTCATCCACACAGAGAAGACACTCTTACATAGTAGCACTTCTCTTGAGCTTTGTGGAGGGTCATTAATTTTTTCCCTGAAATTAAGGGTTATCTTCCTTTCAGAGTAAAATTATGCTTGAATACAGGAAAAACACTCAATAAATGTTGAGTTAATCTTTTCCCTAGCTTATGAAAATAGCCTCTTCCTGCTCAACAGACTAAATTGATCTAAATTAATCCCTTGACAGGAATGGAGTGAAAAGACTTGCAGTAATGACAGCATGGTGCACTCAGCCAGGCCCAAACAATCGTTGGCTGGCAGATTGGATAGTCAACCCCCTGTTCCTGAGTGGAATGATAAAAGACATGACCACTATGGAGAAAATGATCGAGAAAACTAACCCACAGGAGTTGAACTACACAATAATCAGACCTTGTGGATTAACTAATGGTAAGCTGCATGATATGCATCAATTTGCTGGCTTGCCTGCAGTTTAGGCAAGCTGTAATTAAGGTTAGAGAATGGTCCTCGTCACCCAGTCATTATTTGGATTTTTGTGGGTGCCATTTTAATTAGACTTGAAAGAATTGGGCTTGAAGTAAAAGAAAGCTTTTCCCTCCAGCAATGGAGGGGGGGGGGAGGGGCAAAAAATGGAAGGGAAGGGGAGGGAGGAGAATTCTTTTCATAGTACCTTCCTTGCCCATTTTGTATTCATTTTGTATAGTAAATCCAACATGTCACCTCTTGAAGGCAGACTACGAGCAATCTCTCTCTTTTGGCAAAGTCTGTTACCCTGATAAGAAAATACTGCTTGTAGTTCACTTGAAGTAAACAGTTAAGACCTGAGAACACTATATGTAAGTTTTTTTTTCCCTGCAACTTGCATGTAGCAGAATGTTTTAATACCAAATCACAATAACTGGTATTGACATCCTCTCAGGATTTGAAACATCAACTTCTGTCACAGGTGTTGAAAACTTGGCACACAAGTTATAATAAGTTTTCAGTTCTGTCAGAACTTTCTACAATTTCTTCCAACACTGAGTGACTGAAAATAATCCTATTCTTCTTGAATTGAATGCTAAACCATCAAATGTTACCTCCCCCTCCCAGCTTTATCAAACAGTCTGACAGTTTTTTGGTACTCATTTGTACTCCTGGGTGAGGAGAGGCTCTGTGAGAGAGAAATGTTCTGTCCAAGAACAGAGCACAGTTAACATGCTAGTTCCCCTATGCTTGAGTTCAGCATGTTTAACATGGGTTCAGTTGTACCTCCTACCCTGTTAAAAAGTTGCCTTCAATCTGAAGGATGTGTACCTCCCATGGGGACTCTATCACAGCTTTGCCCTGTCAACCATTACTAATTGAACTTTTACTGGTGCAAACAATTTTACTTTCCTATGGGTGTACTCTTGGATTAGTGTACTCTGAGTTCGTCTCTTCTATTTGTGAAGCTGTAACAACAGACTTGACCCTGAAGTTAACGACCTTACTGATTTTCACATTTAGAGCGAATGTCGCCTTACTTAGACAGGAGATGAACTTCTATTGCAATCTCTGTTAATAAAACCGTTTGTAGGAAGCAGTAGAAGTATCATTTTAACATAGTTGTTATATTAAAGCTCGCATCTCAGGCTCTGGTCACCTGGGAATGAAATCTCGCTTTCTTTCTTCCGTTAAATATAGATATCCTCCACTGATATTCTGGGTCAAAATACTGACGAGAGGATCGACCTTATTTTGTAGGTAAACGCACTGGAATGTATAAAGTCGAAGAGGGACAATGTAACACAGGCACAAACATATGGATGTGTCGGGCAGATGTGGCGGAATTCATGCTAAAAGTTTTGGACAGTAGCGAGTACGACAGAAGAGGATTCGCTTTGGGCGGGTTATAGAAGAGCAGATGGATAACCAAGCAATGTATCCCGGTAGCTCTAATGTAAAGATGCATCTACATTATGTGCCATATTGATATGTCACGTCAATTTATTAGACACGAGATCTTTTAGGCCAATTTTTTTTTTATAAGGGCAGAAGTCTGCGCTAATATGGATGATTGCAAACTCTGCAACAACAAAACCAACAACGATAGCGACATATTTGTTCTTTTACATATTTTCATGAAAATTTGAAGTCAGCCTGCACTTAGCGAGGATAGTTAAAGTGCAACCTACACAAAAAGTGTAACCTACACAAAAAATCATAGAACTCAAGACAACACTGCAAATATCATGATAAATAGATTTATGAAAAAATTTGCAGGGTAAATGTTACAAAGATGTCGATTACAGAAATTTGTCAATGAATTAAAAGTATTAGTCGATAATAAGTCGATCACAGCGATTGTTTTGATCATAACTCTCAATTTTCGAGCCATGTCCACGAATCTCGTTTTAAGTTAAACTAAAATAGATATAACATGAAATACATGTCGGGAAGAATTACAATAATGACCGCTATATAACGGAGAGATCAGTTAAAGAAACGGGTACAACTAGATACCGTGGGGAAAATGAGCGCTGAAAAATGATTAACCTAAAAAAGCTAGGCGGTTAAACAGGGGGGTATAAGTTAGACTCGTTGTAGTCAAGAGAAACGAACTGGTTGAAAATTGTAAATTTTGTCACTTACTAGTAAATATAGATCGGAAATACGTCGAGGCGTTTTGAGGCAAACTCTGAAGCCTCCATGACAGAAGCGCAGGTTAAAACCCATCTTCCACCTTAGCCTAGAGTAGTTTTTCAAGATCCATTGTAGACGGTGTGATTTTGTATGCTATTCCAAACGGAAAGATCACAGAAGATCATAAGAGACGCGTTTTACGAAAATACACAGAGAAGGCTTTCGCCATGCTCGATTGTAATTCAACAAGTTGCGGTTCATGGCCGCGGCTTTCACCGCCACAGATGTTTGAAATAAGAATTGAGTTTATAAAAAGAAAATTGTGTATAATGAATGATTGACTAAAGAATTTGGTTATGGAAAAGTGAACAAACACACAGCGTGGGAACAACTTGATAGGTAGTCGGTTGAATAAGCATAAGAATTAGATATGGAATAGCTGAAGTCAGGAATGAAACTGTAGGTGAAAATCGGGACCATTTGTCACTTACTCGTAACAATTAGATGGTACTTTTAGTCGTTTCGGCGAACTTTTAAGCCGTCCATGACCAAAGCTGTAGATAAAAACCGCTGGTATAGCATCTGGGTTAGTGGTCAAGGTCATTAGCAAACAGTGCGTTTTTGTTTGCTGTGGTTAAACGGAAAGATAACGGCGAAGCGGATTTCCGAACTCTAAAATGCTTTCTTGATGCTTTATCATTATCCTTGAGTGTCATTTCAACAGTAGAATGTGGGTTTTGACCACGTAAAAGTGTTCGTCCTTGAGCAACCGTCGCTTCAACATCTTTTCCTTGAAACTTGGATGTCTGTGAAAGATCTGAGCGTAGGAAATGGCTTTAAGTCATCGCAGAAGTCTGAAGTCACGCGCAGACAGTTTGTCATTGTTTTATTTTTTAACTTTTATTTTTAGTATTTAATTGGCACGCTTAGCTTTCTCGAAACTGATGAAGGCTTTAGAGTCCGCTAAAACGTTTTGAAGTACCACTCAGTTAGTGCAAGTCAATGATGAAAAACAACTACTGTCAACTTGGAGTGTAAGTTAATGAAGAAAGGGAGGAGGGAAGTTAGCTTCTAGATGTGAAGAACAGGCAGTTGATTAAAAAACAAGAGATGTTTAAAGTCCAGTGCAAATTTATTTCTTGTTGGAACTCTGTTCCCCACTATTGTCAGATTGACCTACGATTTCGTAAGGTCGTTCCACTCCTAAAAAGGAACAAGGACCATCTTGGTCGGTGAAAATGTCACAGTTCAGATAAACACCCATGAGTTTGTCGAGATCACCGGCTTTCCATCTTTCATTGTTAATGTAAATTTAGGATGAAGATACTCTTGCTTAAATTAGGGTTTCTCCTGTGAAGCTACTTTTTCTTTTTCACAGCGATAAAACTATAGCTGTGTTGCGCCAATTTAACATTTGTTTTGGGCAACTGCTGCGACTGATCGTTCGACCGTTCCTGTGAATACCCTTATTCCTTCTGTGTATCTATCTGCGTTAGACTATTTAAACGAAGAACAATCTGACGTCCTGAACTCAATACCCTTTGGTCAGGATCATTTAATGTAATATTCTCATTCATGTTTTAATGGCACGTTTGTTGATTCACAACGATCTTAAAGAAAACCGATACCTAACTCTGAATAACTGGTGCAGAGGAAAATCTGAGAGAACCCTACTCCAAGGATTATGCCTTAATTGTTCAAAATATTCATCTCTCCATTTACAACGATGCTTGTTCCAACCAGGTTTCTTTTCCACCTCAGGTGGTATTTATCTCCGTTTAGTTAGCGATCGAGATTTGCACTGGATCTCAAGGCGATTGACTATGCCACTTCAGGTGGCTCAAGGATCGTTGAGTAGCAGGCCTCTGACACGACTCACTCGCACAACAAAGAAGACTGAAGATAAAGCTAGATAGCATCGGATTGCATCCGACTGTCACAAAATTAAGTCAAGCATATGATATATGAACACTTTAAGAGCTATGTAAGATGTTTAAATTTAAAAAAAGGGTAGGAGATGGAAAAGTTTCAGCTTGGTTTTAAAACAAAGAAATATGTTATTAATTTAGCACAAGCGTGTGATACCAAAAAAGTCTGAGTCATACGCGAATGCTAATTTAAGATCTTGAGATTTCGCAGTAGGATGCTCTACTTAATGAAGTATAAATAAACTCTTCGACGAAAAGCTGGTTTTAGGCGGTCAGCTGGTTAAGGGATGCAACAGTAACAAAAAGCGAAATGAGGAACCTCCCTTCTTTCCCTGTGCCAATATCACCCCCCATTTACGGTCATGTACCAACCGTACTTCAGTAACAGATTTGTCCGCGAAGGGCGCCATACACCTGGTGCGTATGCGTCAACATTTTTTTTTAAAGGGTGGATGATACATCCTCTAACTATCAACCCAAGACTGAGAAAAGAAAAGAACAATTAAGTTTAGGATCAAAAATTAATGTTACACAAAGAACCCTCCTCGCAAGCAAATATTCGAAAGCGACAATAAACCGAATAGTATTTCTCCAAAGGCGTTTTCTCTTTATTGATTTATGAATCTTTGAAACTGATAATGTTTTTCGTTCCATTTTCCGTGAGCAAAAGACAAAAGAGCTCTGTAAATGTCGCGCAAATGCGACACCTCAAAAGAGGATTATAATTTATGAAATGGTTTGAAAAGGTTGTTTAAGAAAGAACGACCGATTGTTTTAGCGCAGTTTGCACTGTCGTCATTTGCCCAAGGCATAGACATTTGTTTCATTTTGAAATATTTTTAATTCAATTTTCCTTCAATTCCACTTTTTACAAGATTATTATTTTTTGTTAATGTTATCATCTTTTTATAGAAAATTCTCCAAAAATAGAAAATCTGCAATAAACAAAATTTAGTAACTAGATAATTCCTTTTTCTCTGTCTTCTTTTTTATAATCGCGTTTTCTTTTAAATTTTGGCGAAACTATTTTCTATGTGGGCATTTTTGCGATATCTTTTAAGTTTAAACTGTTTTTTCTGGTTGTACGGATTATTTCATAAGTCCATTATCCCTTAAATTAAGTTTGCACAGTTTGATGTTCCCAGCGCAGGATATATATGTCCCTGATGTCGTCATATCCTGCAGATGGTTTTGTCATAATCAGACATGAAATCATGCATTTCTTCCAGCTTGAACCAAGCTTACGTTTACTTTAAGCAAATTTGCCTCATTCCAGAGTTTAGAGAAAGGGAGAAAAATTTGTACTGTCTCTCACTGTTTGCGAGGCGGGATTTTTTAATCCACATTTGCGTGCAGAAGGAAAAAAAAGATTATCTGTTCCTTATCTTCTTTGATTGCTAAGGTGAAAGCAGAACTCTTTTGCCTAATACTGATCTGTTTTCACAACGCTGAGGATGTTATCATTGAGCCTTTGTCGCGAAGGATATTGTCCGTATCGTGAAACCCAGACAGGTCGCGTCCCCTGATGCTTTCCTCGTGTGGACTTCCTCTCCTGGTGACCTTGATCTGATTTCAGAGCAATTTTGAGACACCTCAATTAGGTATGTAATCCCTTCTTACAGCGCCAAATAATCCCCTTAGCTTTTTCCCAATTAGAGAGGCGGTTTTCTGTTTTACTTATACATTTATTTTTTTTCCTCGATTCCCTGTTTGTGTTTTTACTTTTCTCACGGGAACTTATTCGCAAAGAGCGCCGCGCCCACCCATGGGCACAGAACCGTTTTCAGACCTGCTAAGTTGCTTATTTGTGTAAGCAAGATGGAAATTCGCACGCTCTCCTGGTGGTCATTTGACGATCTAAGAGCTTGTTATGTATGTGTCACGCTTTTTACCAGCAGTCGATTACGGCCGCAATCGCATTTCTGTAAATTATAAAGTGTTTAAAGTTCTCATCGACTTTCATTGATGTATGTAGTTGTGTTTACAATAGCACTTTGAGCGCGGATCCCCACCTACGAAGCAAGCGTGGGCCGGGTTGAAGACCACATTTCGTAAAAGGAAAACGGTGGTCACTGGGGTAGCGATTATTCTCGCATCTTTCATATTATATCTAACAGATAAAAGACTGATTGTTTTATCTTGACTGCAACGTCGCTACCATCTACAACCTGCCTGACAGCGGCACAAATTAAATTAATTTCAATCTTTAATGAAACTTTCCCTCCTTCTAAAAACGTAGTGTTTCCACAGCCATCTGGTTATATTTTTCTTTCACTGATTCGCCTTGATTTGGCCGATAATCCCTAATCCATCTTTGCATATCATGTAATATCTTTTTTTATTGGTGTTCATTTTCGTCAATCGGATTGACAATTGCCGCGTCTACATATTTCTTTTTTACATTTTTTCAATGTTGTATTTTCTGCCAGGCCGCTGATGATTAGTTATTTTTAGTTCGAAATACTATTTTACGCATTGCCAGAGCAGACAAGATACCAATGGCATTTTAATGATTGTTACCCATTGAGACCCGCACACAAGTTACTGATCTCACCTCTTAGCTCATTAAACTCGTCCGCAAGGTTTACATGACCTGCCCATGCAATTAAAAATCGTTTATCTCGATTAATGATGATTACAAAACCTTTGAATAAAAACGCTTTGACCTCTTATGTGATCAAAAGCAATTTGACGATTAAAATCTCATTTCCCTAGTCTGAGCTATGGTGGTGCTGTGACAATTAAAAATTTGTCGGTTAATATGAGGCAAAGGATAATCGATTTAAGGCCCCGGCAGTCGAAAACCAAATTCCATCCACCCAGCTTAATAGAAACAGAGCAGGAAGGGCGAACGGCGCTGATTATTTTACATAAAAGGAATAAAAAGGGAAGACGAAAAGAGAAAATGAAAAACTAGACAACGAAAAAGAAACAACGATGAATTTTGCAAAACGCAATCTAATTTTCACCTTGAGAAAAAAAAATCAAGGCACGAGAAAAAATATTTCTCCTCGTAAAAAATAACAGAGTGAGAAAGAAACTCTCGACCCTTGGACTCTAGAAAACATTCTTCAACTCGGAGAAAACCAAAATCATTCGATGTCTCGACAAAAAGAAGTCTCCACTCGAGAAAGAGATTGCATCTCGTGAAGTCTACTTGTTTTAGAAGCAAAGTAAGCACTTGATACTATTCAGTCGTTACAAATGAGTTCCATGAGAGCTAATGTTGTCTCATCATTTTGCCTAGGAATCTCGAATCATCTTCCCCAGAGGTTCCTCTGAAGACGCAAATAAAACCTACACGGTTCTCAGGTAATATAGTGCTAATTTTACGAAAATAATCAATCGGGTTCCAATTGGAGTAGCTTTTCTTTTGTCAACTTGGAATTGCATCAAGAGTCAATAATATAGTACGTTCATAATTTTGCCTTTTTGAATTATTTTAATATTTGAAATGGTCATTTTCGCTTTATCCAAAGTTACCTTGTGTACTGAGATGGTGAAGTGTTGAAAGACCATGATAGGTAATATTCTTATGTCAGAACCCGCCTACAACTAGAAATTGGAACAAAATGGCGTTAATGGAACTTTGGTTGGTTTATAATCGAAAAATCGTCGAAACCTAGAGGGCTTGTTGTAAAAAGCCTGCCGATAAAAATTATCTCTTTGCTTTATATACGGATTATTTGCGGGGTACTAGTGTGTACCGGAATGCTTTGTTGGTACTGCATCAGAGCGGGTGATTTACCATTCAGTTTATCTTCATGCTGTTCCCACAAACAATCTAACGTTCAAATCTACAAAATAAAATTACCTTGCCTCAATCAAATTTTTATTTTTCATGAATAAGTAGGTAAAAAAAACTCCGTCGGCTAAAATCTTCCATTGAACAATTAAGGCTTTGTGAATGCTTGCATACCGTACGTTTCCGATCGATTTTTGAAAGTTGCGAATTACGACTTGGAGAATGAGCTGCGAAGTACATTTAGCAAAAGAATGCACTCTTCCTAAACCGTATCCTCGTACAGTACGTTGAAAGTGAATGGAACAACACGCAAATTTTTACACTACTCATTGATATCGCCATTTCTTTGTATTTTTGCCGTTTTTCTCCCATGAAATTCCTGGAAATTTCACCTTTTCAAACGTTTATCTCATCCAATGTCTTGAGAACT